TTATAAGGTGTTTGTTAGGAAAGTTATAAATCATAGAATAGGAAATATCGTCTGCCCCTGGAGCGGTATCCTTCGTCTTCAACACATTTAACAGTTCATGCGTAGTGATTTGTGCTTCTAACTGTGAGTTAATTGACCTAAAGACAGGATATTGTGGGCTTACGTAATCTGGAGTCAATTGCCTTAAGAATGTGTAGCCTTCTCTTCATCTAGACAAATTTTATTACTACGATACCCTTTAAGCCATCTCATTTTGCTCCATAACTCACTGCTAGATGTTGTCTCTCCAATACTGTCACAGAACTGTCGATAGGACTCTGCACTTGCTATACGGATTAGCCTCTGTGCCGTAGCAACCTTTTGTTTAAGAACCATGAAATTTAATGGCGTTGGGTTCTTCCTAACCTGTGCCAATGCCAATCTACGTTCTGCGACCGCTTTAGATAATGCGGGGGACCAATATGATCTAGGGATAAACTTACTAGTGGGGTGTTTAGGAATTTTAATATCTGGAATCGCTGATTGAGCCGCGTAATTAATTAATTCTACAAGGTGATTATAAATCTGTTGGTAGTTGCCTGTTAATCTAAAAGTATTTATTTTACTTAATATAATATCCGAATACATTTTCCAATCTGCTTTTTTAAAATTACGTATTGATTTTGTGAGGTTATGACATGTTATTTCAGTAGTGATAAGAATCATTAAGTGGTCACTCCCCAGATTTTCATTTAGAACAGTCCACTTGAACTTCAAAGCTATGTCTGATGAAACAAAAGTGATGTCTGGTGAACTTTTTTGAACCTGATTTAAAACTAACTTGAGTCTGGTATGGTCTCCAGTGTTAAGAGAAACATAATGCCATTCATCAGCAGCATCGTGGATTTGTGAACCTCTGGAATCAACTTTGTATGACCAATTGGTGTGGTGTCCATTAAAATCTCCCCCTATTAAGGTTTTATTAGACCAACTAGAGAATAACATTTTCCAATCCTCGTCTACAGTTTGAATATTAGGTGGACAATAAACAGCTACAACATTTTCTATAAAACTACAGTTAAATATCTTAATATGGAGTACTTGAATGTTTCGATTACGTAATGTAAAACTGTTGATCTGAGTTTTAACGGTGTTATGTACCACAATAGCGGCGCCGCCGAATGAATCATCACGATCCTGTCTATAAATATTATAATTACTAATTTTCAAGTGACTGTCAGGTTCGAGCCAAGTCTCAGTTATAATGCAAATATGAATTTTACTAGTCAAAAGAAAATTTTCAAAAGTTTTAACTTTAGGTCTCAGACTTCTTGCATTCCACTGCAGTAACTTTAACTGAACAATTTTATTTTTAGGATCCATTATTTATTTAGTCCAAGAAATAACTCTAAACACTTGTTAACAATAGGCCACTCAGATATACGATCTACAAAAACTAACACTAGCCATTTACTACAACACTTAATAATCTCATAAAACTTTTCGTTAATACTATAATTTCGCATAAAAATAATATCCTTCAATCGATTTATTAACTCGTCAAAATGTACCTCTCGCGTATTGTTTACATTATCGCTGGCATCCTTATCAGTAGTAGTTGGTTGCTTAGGAATGTTGTCCGACGACTCCCGATGTCCGTACCATACCGATTCATTTTTATTATATAAATGTGATTTCTTTTGTTTACTTACTTGCGGTGAACTCGCTCGTTTTGGCGTAAACAACGGTGGGAATAGATCTGTTGTATACTTATAACTACTACCTGATTCTTCAATATTTAATCCATTAAAGCTGTTATTGGGATCGATCTTCGGTTTTTTCGTTTTGTCCCATTGTTTGTGAATCAAGTGGCAACTGAGGTTTCACGTACATGTTACACGCTACGTAATAGGAACAGTTATATTCTGCCATGAGTTCTCTCACGCGCTTCTCTCGAGCATAAACCGGGCAATTCCTGTTCAATGCCATGTGGTCGCCCCGACAATTCACACATTTGAATTTGTTAACTTCACAATTACTATGCTGTTCTGTACACTTAGGACATACAATTTTATTAGATGGGCATCTTGTTTTAATGTGGCCAAACTTCCAGCACTTTGAGCACTGGGTTACCGGAAAAACAAAAGGATCTACCTTGGTGCGTAAACAATCTATATAGATAAAGCTTGGTAAGTGTGATCCACTGAAGCCGATCCGAACTACCTCACTCGGTACCCAGCCGCTTTCATGGCGCCTGTGTAGCCTTTTTACAGATATTATTTGAATAGTACTAGGACATTTAATCGCAGTTAATATTTCGTCTTCTTTTAACTCCAAATCCACGTTCCGTATAACTCCATATGAGGTATTCACGTCCGTGGCGCTGTACACCTTCCAACCTTTGGTTTGAAACTCTTGACAATCCAATAACTTATTCACACATTCCTCAGTCGAAACTTCGATTCTTAATTTATATGAGTTTATGTACTTAACATGATTTATCTCAGTTAAACCTATACTGTTAAACAATTTTGCTATGGCAAATTGTTTAGGTAACTTTTCTTTACTCCATATAAAGACTTCTTTTTTAAATTGTTTATGTTTTTTCTCTTTGTCTCTTACTACTTTAGTCCAACTTCCTTCATCATCTTCTTCTCTTCCTCGTTTTATTGGTCTACTTATTATATTATCTTCTTCCATAACTTGTATTTCGTTATTAGTAGGTTCTGCAGAGTTTTCTACCAATTCTATTTTGTCTCCTCCTTCCTCATCTATTAAAATGTGTGACATCCATCTATCTCCTGGACCTTGATTGATGTCTTCTTGGTCACTTGTACTATCATCACTGTACCCTGTGGCCATTATCAGACCGCGTGTTCATCGCCGATGCGTCAATATAAGATTAATTTGACTACGTTAAAACTACAAACACGCGCGCGAGTGGTTTACACGAGTGCCGTGACGTAACTGAAAGGCTGTATTTCGAAATTCTAAACAACAACATAGGCAATAACCGTACCTACTTGAATTTAAATATTTGATTGTCACCCGTAACCTGTAATTACTATACTTCGTTGATATAAACATTCTTGTTCTTGCTTATTTAGGAGCTTCGCCACGCGCAAATTACCTAGTACAAAATTAATCTGATTACGTAGATAGGACATTATTATTAGGATTTTTATCAGTGGTGGACATGGATAATGATATCGGCATGACCTATAAGTCTATATATCATGCTCATGGGATAAGCAGTCAGCAGAATATTTATCTTAACGGATCTTTAAGAGACAAAGGGTATTTTTTATTTTATCAAAGGGCGAAGGTCATTTTTTGTTAAGTCATCTAAATAATGGAGTCATGTGAAGTGCGTGACTACTACGTGACCTAGGCCTAAGTGAAATGTATTAAATTGTGTAACTAGATAAATAGGAAAAATGAATAGATGAAAGGTACGAGTACTCTGGAAATACATACTTACCTATGTAAGTAATTAATAAAAATAAAAAACATGTATAAGTATATTTATCAAATTACATTTGTCAGGTCTTTGGAAACAAGTACCTACCTAGACCTAGTATAGGTTACCATACTGCAGAAAAGGGGCTACATCAGTGAGCTAAATACAATCCTTCTATAAGAAGTCTAGTCTAGCATTGTCCAAAGTGCATTCGGACGAATCATTTTACAAGTAGGTACCCACTTGCCTTTTTTCTTAAGCAACGCTTCCTTCAACCATTTAGTAGATATAAATTATTGTTAATCATAAAAATAAGATGTTAGATGACACCTACTTGTTTCATATATGGATCGTAGACTGCAGTGTATCTATCCGCGCTTTAGATATTAGAAAGTCATATGTATCATAGGTAAATGACCGCATAAAGCATTCGCCCCGGTGCGGTACTGCGGAACAAAATTCTGCGCAGACGACGGATAAGAAGAACAATTAAAATTTTGCAGATTATGAGTAATTTATTGCACTTTCATACATGTTAATTATAATTCTTTTTTGCTCGCCCATTCCGTAATTAATTATCCGCAAGATGGCTGGGAGTAAGATAAAAGCCAGAGATTTATAAAGATTTCTGGATTACACACATCGTATTATAACGTCCCGCCTTTTAATTCCCGAAGGGAAGCAGAGGTAACCTTTGTCTACCCCTAAGGGTCCTCTTTTCATGAGTTGTATTATATATAGGAAGGGACGATTTTTCGGATAAATATTCAAAATTGATAAATACTGAGTAAGTAAATACTGTATGACATGAGATTCATTCCATCAAAGGCAGAGAGAGTAATGGCGACATTGATGAGATAATTTATCATAGGGAATTAAGTGGAATAGCAGAAAATTATTGAATCGCTGCTGGCTGAAATACAATAAATAATTATTCTTTATTTTGTTCATAATTCATTCAAGAAGTTCTATATCTCTTTTTTTCTAGAAGTTCGAAGTTCTAATTCTCTTTTTTTCTGTACCTCTATTACAGACACAATGTAAATTGTTAAATGAATAAATAAATGAAATAAATAAATATGATTTATATCCATCTTTGTAAACAGCCACAAAACGACTGTCATGGTCAAAAACACAAAATCTTTGACATTAATGACATAAAGATTGACATAAAGAGTCTCAAACAAAAAAAAAATGAATTTTTCATTCATTTTCATCTTTGTTGATCTTAATAATTTACGTAAACAAAATGTTTAAAATGATTATATTCGTTAAATGATAAAATAAATACGATTTTATATTAAGTATACTACTAGAAATATGTAGTTGAATCTCATAGGAAACATTTATACGATCGTAAAGCAAACAAAATAGATGTCCGCAACTTGAAGTATAGCTGTAACTGCATAAAGTGTTTTATTAGAAAGTTTCTGCATTACACATTATCCCTTTCACATCATACCGCTGTGTGTTAGCTAACGACAGAAGAATAAAAGATACTAAAACAAGTGTTATCGAAGTTCCCGTAGAATATTTACACGAAAATTAACATACAATAATTAATGTAACTTGTGTTGATAAGTGTTACACGAGCAATGAGTATCACTAACAGTGACAAAAAGGATAAAATCGAGGTAAGTTTAATGTGATTATATTAAAGCGATTGGAATGTTAGCCAACTGCACAGTAAAAAAAACAAACTTGCAAAATGCATAGGCAACAAGCCTAGCTTTTATCCTTGCACTTGAATAGGGCAATGATCTTTGCTCTTACAACCAGTTTCAAGAAGGTTGCATATCTATCTAGCATATAACCATCTTTCTTGGTTGTATAACTTTGGTGTGGAGACAATAGGTAAAGTTCTACACATTTTACTTGAAGAAGTTTATACTTCATATACCTACTTCATTTCTTGATTAGCTGTATCATTGAATGCTTAAGTATTTATTATAATCTGTGGTATATTGACTAGTAATATTCCAGTAGTGAACCGAGAGTGTTGTGTGTTCTTATTTTAAATATTTTCAGAGAGGAAAGGTAAAATAAAGTATAGTTTTAAATGGTTGAATAGTTTTAATTTAATAGTTATTCTTATCTTTATGGTTTTATGTTATTGTAAAAGTGGTGTGGTTTGGAAGATGACTTGAAAATTAATTTAATTAATGCAGCGTACCAAAGTTCTGTTTTGTGTTGACATTGCAAAGGGTAATCTTTTAATAAATATTTTCTAGATAACAGTTAATATTTGTTTTGCAATGGTAGATAACTTTAATTTGTTCTTGTAGGGCACATAGTTTAAAAGGTTTTAATTTATACAATTTTTATGAAAGTTTCCTATTGAATAAAAGTTTGTGTGTTCTTTGAAAAAAATTATAAAATTTTGAAAATCTATCTATTTACATAGACCGGAAGTGAAATTTATCATTATTTTATGAAAATTATGAGGAAATGCAAACAGGAAACTATTATCTATAGGTAGAATTTATAAGTCACAATTTTATTTAATATTATTTTAAATTAAATGTCGTGGTAGGTTGTAAATGATATGGTATAGGTATGAAATGTGTGAATATAATTAATTACAATGACATGACAATACTTTATTTATACATCAATAAACAAACAATCCGTAATTGATCACTCTCTACGGAAACTTTCCAAAGTTCAATACAAATATTGTGAAATATTGTTTTAATACTTTATAATTATATCTACATGTTGTGGTGGCCCGGAGGTTTAAGACGCCCGCTTCTCATGCATGAGAGTGCGGGCACGAAACCTACCAATGGCAAATACCAATGTGACTTTTTCTGAGTTATTTATGTACTTTCTAAGATTATTCAGACACCACTGACATACGGTGAAAGAAAACATGGACATATCCTTACTAATATTATAAATTGGAAAGTGAGTTTGTTTGTTTGTTCCGCTTTGACGTCGTAACTACTAAACCGATTGCTTTGAATTTTTGCAGACGTAAAGTTAGAAGTCTGGATTAAATAATAGGGTACTTTTTATCCCGGAAAAATTTGATATTCCCGAGGGAAAACAAAAGTATTGGTATAGATGGCGCTGTGTGTATTGGTATATGTCACATAGGCTACTTTTATCCTTTTGTGACGCGAGCGAAGCCGCGGGTAAAAGCTAGTAATTTCTAATTATAAGTTTGCAATCGCTTACCTGCACTCAGCAAGCAATGCTCACGTATTCTCCGTGTGAGAAGAGGCTTTGCTCAGCAGTGGGCATTTATAGGCTGTTTATGATATTGAATTGTATCTAAAGCATTAAAACAATTTTTTTAATATTTTCTCTGATATCCTAAAGAAACTTTTATCAGATCATTTTGTTGTTTGTAATCTTCTTTTTTGTATCTTAAGGTACAATAATAAAAATATATGAGGCCGGGGCCTCAAGACCGAGGTCTTAAATAATATTTTTAACTCTATGTTAATTATTATCAGCATACAAAATTATAGAATAGTTGGAACAAATTAACCTACAATAATATTACATCAGGTGATCCGTCTGCTTGTTTTCTATAAAACAATAAAACACTTTATTCTTATACTTATTAGAAATAAAGTACAAAAATAATTCCATGTTCACAGCTATCCAGCAATAAACCGAGGAAGATATTCTGCGGAATGGTCTCCAACATGATCAAGCATGTGTTCCTTATATTCCGGACGTACCTGGACCTGTTCATTGACCTGGTCTATGGTTACTTCTGGGAGAGGAAGCGGCAACCCATACCGGCCTTGGAGAAGAGACATGCAATGCTTGCGGAGAGCGCTGTGGCCCTGGCTGCGAAGATCAGGAATAAAGAGCTGAAGTCTGAGGATCTGGTGAGGGCGTGCATTGAGAGGATTCAACAGGTAAGCAATTAGGAATGGCTAGAATAAAATAATGATATCTCATCATCATTATCACCATCATATCAGCCACAGGACGTCCACCGCTGAACATGGGCCTCCCCCAAACTTAGGCCTCCCGTAATGGGGCATCGCGTGAACCTCTCGTTCTTCGTCGAATAGGGAATCAGCTAGGGTCACACTATTGGACGTTCAATATTTGACAGCTGCTGTGATTGGATGAAAGAAACGCTTCCTACATTTGCTCTAAAATACGGTAGCCCCTATTGAAATCCCCAATGATGTCTAATTCCCGTGTTACCACCGTGTCTTAAATAGGGAGATCTAAGATTTTATACAGGAGACCCTTAACGATATTTTGGTTTTCACCAAGCTACATTTCGGACACATTTCGGTGATTGTGCGGCGGAATTGCACAACTTGATTCCCCCCAGTCCTTTCCATTATCGTACCACAAGACAATTGCGAAGCGTCACCGATTCATGGCAGATGTCTTACCCACACGCACGAAGCGTTTCGCATCAAGCTTCCTTGTTGTAAGGAGTGGAAATCTTTGCCAGAGTCTGTATTTCCTGAAGGTATATAACCTGGGAGTCTTCAAGGCCCGAGTGAATAGGTTGCTTATGGGTCGACGTGCTCCATCGTAGGCCACATCATCGCTTACCACCAGGCGAGATAGTGGTCAAACGTCAGCCCCATCTAATAGAAAAAACCTACAAGTGACACCTAACTTAAAGGTTCTAGGTGCTCCTTCGGGCTAAATGACTCTTAGTTAAGTAATTAGTAGTTAGTTTTTTTCCTTATGAATTAAGTTCATCGTCCGAAAATTGTACACTTTGATCTACCTAACTGAACTTTGAACCCGTGTTCCGTGTTTCATGTGTCCGTTTACGGTATTACCCAGTCTATTTTAGTCTACAATTATACAAAAACCTTGACAGTCAAAAATGTATAGTTTTCCTCAATATAACAATATTTTTTATCAAAATGTTATCAAATGATGTAATTGGATAATTCAGTTTTAACAAGATTATCTTCGTATCGGATACCGAAGGAAATTGTACTGACAAGGACTTTGTTGTTGTCAAGTCTGGTCTAAAAATTATGTACATAGTTAGATTCGGTTAAAACAACAGTACTCGTAATTACAGTAACCCCACAATGCTATACATAGTATAAATAAAATTGTAGTTGAGCATGATTTGCCAACCAAATGAGCTAGCGGAACAGAGGCCTTACTACGAGTTTCATTTACGTTTAAAGTATTCGAAACGAGTACGCGTTCGGCACTCTGATTGGCCGGCACTAATGAAGCAACCAATCAGAGCGCCGAATACGTACGCGTTACGATTACTTTAAGCGTAAATCACACTCGTAGTAAGGTCTCTGATTGGTTGGTTCATGGGAGCCGGCCAATCACAACGTCGAATGCGTACTCGTTACGATTACTTTAAACGTAAATCACACTCGTAGTAAGGTCTCTGATTGGTTGGTTCATGGGAGCAGGCCAATCACAACGTCGAATGCGTACTCGTTACGATTACTTTAAACGTAAATCACACTCGTAGTAAGGTCTCTGATTGGTTGGTTCATGGGAGCAGGCCAATCACAACGTCGAATGCGTACTCGTTACGATTACTTTAAACGTAAATCACACTCGTAGTAAGGTCTCTGATTGGTTGGTTCATGGGAGCCGGCCAATCACAACGTCTAACGTACTTTAAACGTAAAAGAAACTTGTACTAAGGCCTCTGATAAGAAGGTCTTTAGGTAGTAAGAATCTGATATTCCTCTTTACCTCCTTGAAAGTGTATTACCCATATTGGCAAAATTAACTATCTATCTTTATCTCATTTCTTCTTTTCCCAAAAAGTATTTGAACTCCTCAATACCAAAAGAAATCTCTTTATCCATATAGAAAAAAACATACGCCAAATGATCGCGGATTCATGCCGGGCAACGACGACAAAAAATATTTACAGTCGAAGAATATTATAGGTAACTACATTACATGGAATTTAGTGCATTGTTCTAATGCGTAGTTAAATTCTGTTTAATTTATATTATAATACTATTGTATTCAGCAGCCAATCATATTATGTAGTTATGCAAGAAACATTATCTTACTAACTGCCCTTCATACATACTCGTAGTGAATTCCTATAACACTTTTTTGTATCAGAGGCTCATTATAAGAATACTAGCTATTTATCGTAGCGTAATGTTATAAATAGCATATTAAATGTGGGAGAGCCATGTTTCGACACGAATGGACACTCGACCGGAGCGATACCACAGCCTCACAGTAAACCGACGTGAAATAATGCTTGCGTTGTGTTTCGTCGTGTGAGTGAGGTTACCAGAAGTCCAATTACCCCGGCTTACCCCATAAAAAAATATAGTCTTCCTCGATATTTAGACTCTTTGAACATAAAAAATATTCGAATTATTCAGCACGAGGAGATTTGCGCGTATTACCAAATGCAGGAAGGCGTCTTGGGTTCCTACTTATAATTAAAAATTTAATATATCATTGTTCGCAGGTAAATCCCATAATAAACGCGGTGACGGACGAGAGATACGAGGATGCCCTGAAAGAAGCGCGCGAAGTAGACAAGCTGATTGAAAGCGGACTACCTGATGACTACTACCAGAAGAAACCGTTTTTAGGTAGGTATACTATTTCCTATTTCAATGTTGTAATTATGTTTATTGGTTACTCTTTCTCGCTCATAAACTGCTGTATAGATCTGGATGAATTTTGACAGATAGATTGTACTGGCATTGATAATGCACGCTATCCCAAATCTATACTTGATTCGGAGCCGCGGAGAACTTAACGGGTTACCGAGGCTCCGGCCCGAAGGTCAGGAGTAAGAACGGGGTGGTTTTTAGTCTGTAAGAGTCTGACACTCCCTCCCGCATTGCCCAGGCGGGAGAAGTAATTCGATAATGTTACCCACTTAAAAAAAACCCAAATCTATACTTATAATAAATCTGTAGAGAGGTCAGTTCTGTACATGATATAAATTTGCAAAATAACTATCATTAGGTGATTAGGGATCGATACTAATGCCAACGATGCAATCAGTAAAATTTTTGTCTGTCTATTTATATGTTCACGCATCACGCAAAAACTACCGGTCAGATTGCGATGAAACTTGGTATAATTATACTTTATTACTTTAATATCCTGAGCATCATACTGGATACTTTTTATCCCGAAAAAGTGTATACACTAAAATACAATTTTGAGCTGTGGTACATTTTATTTAATAAAGCAAAAGTAACAAAAAAATTGTAATGCAGTTCATTTTGGGCGTTATACCTGAATTTTGATACTTATTACAAAACAAATAAATTATAAATAAAGCACATAAGTAATTGTACTGCCTGTCCATATACACGTCTAATTAGATATAATAACAATTATATAATTTACTTTCTAGCTCACAGCTCGTTTGACATTGGGCACACACTCACTTTCAAAGGGAAGTGTTCCGCTGTGCGCAATGCGCATAGCTTGTTAAAATAATTTGTAAATTAGTCTGTAATTTTAGCAAAGGAAGGAAATTGAGTATTTTTAGGGAGTTACTTCATTAAAAATGTTGCCCCACCTCCCATAACGAATTTTCTCCTGTATCGATTGCGCATCTTGCGGAGCTGTTAGGAGACTGGCTCCTGTGTTTGTATTGTAGATTTATTTTCAATTACTGCACGAAATTATTGATCTACACTTATCAATCAGAATATAATTTACATGACAAATTTTATGTTTGTTTTAAATGTACTCACGACATAGCTTTTAAGTGTGGGAGAGCCATGCTTCGGCACGAATGGGCCGGCTCGACCGGAGTGATACCACGACCTCTCAGAAAACCGACGTGAAGCAACGCTTGCGTTGTGTTTCGTCGTGTGAGTGAGGTTACCGGAGGCCCAATTACCCTCCCCTTCCCCAATTTTTCCAATTCCTGAATCCCCAACGATTCTCAAACTCCTAATCCCCAAAAGGCCGGTGACGCACGCCTCTGATGTTCCAGGTGTCCATAGGCGACGCCGATTTCTTACCAACAGGTGATCCGTCTTCTCGTTTACTGGCTTATGCCATAAAAAAGCAGAAAATTCTGTTATGCATTGTGTTTCAACATGTGAGTGAAGCTATTGGAGCCCTAATGCCCCCGTTTCCTCTTGACCCCAATCAACCTTCAATTCTTCAATTCCCCCTAAAGCCTGTTGTCGCATTTGTGACTCCTCTAGCCTTGCGAGTACCCATGGAGGACACCGTTTGCTTACCATCACATGATCTGTCAGCTCATATTCAAGTTCCTATTTATTTTTCCCTAGGCATTCCATTCACGGCTAAGGAGAGCCATGCAGTACAAGGCATGTTGCACACTCTGGGCGTCGTGGCGCGGCGCCATGTGCGCGCGCACGAGGACGCGGAGTGCGTGCGGCTGGTCAAGGAAGCCGGCGCCATACTTGTGGCAGTTACTAATGTACCTGAGATTAATAAGTGGTGAGTGTCATCAGTAAATCATCATCGTGACTCAGTGTCGTGGTAGCCCTTAGGTTTATGGTGCCCATGCATGAGGGTGGTAGTTCGAAACCTACCAACAGCAAGTACCAATGTAACGTTTTCCGAATTATATGTATTTTCTAAGATTATCTAGACACCACTGACAAACGGTGAAGGAAAACATCGTGAGGAAACCTGAGCTTATAATTTCTAATTATAAGTTTGTAATCGCCAACCCGCATTGAGCAAGCGTGGTGATTAATGCTCAAACCTTCTCCGTGTGAGAAGAGGCTTTGCTCAGCAGTGGGCATTTATAGACTGTTGATGATGATGATGATGAGTGATTGGATAAAAAAAATCCTTTTCCTACATTTGTGTCATCTAGTGATCAAAATACGGTAGCACCCATTACGACCTTGTTTAAACTCGATATCATATTCTTGTATACCGTCCACTGTTAGACTTTAGGTTCTTCTCATAGATCTGCCTACACCCCACATTTATACTACAGGATGGAGAGCCGTAACTTCGTGTTTGGTCAGACAAACAACCCCCACCACACGGGGCGCACCCCCGGGGGCTCCAGCGGGGGCGAGGCCGCGCTACATGCCTGTATTACTGCGCCCATCTCTCTGTGTACGTATATCTACCAACATACTTATTGTTCTAGCAGGTGTTTTGGTCAACCAATCAATCAATCTCAGTTTTGTAGCTCTCAAATAACTATTTAACGATCTAACTTGACTACTTTCGAGCGACAGCAGGGACTCATAGTGACAATTAACTTGATAAATAATTGAACACGTCTTACGACAATTATAATCTTGTACTATTATATAAAGCGGAAGAGACTGTTTTTCTGTTTGTTTGTTTGAACGTGCTAATCTCTGTAACTACAAGTCTGATTTAAATAATTCTTTTTGTGTTGGATAGCGCATTTATCGAGGATGGATATAGGATATAAAACATCACGCTACGACCACACGGTTTCACACGCTCTGCTCAGCGCGTGTGAAACCGCGCGAAAGTAGGTAGTCCAAGATGAAATAACTATGTAGATTTTATATTCTTACTAGCTTCTGCTCGCGACTTCGTACGCGCAATCCCATTTTCCCCCCGTTCCCGTTCGTGATTTTTGGTAAAAAGTAAAAAAAAGTATTCTATAAAAAGTATCCTATGTCCGATTGTCCGTCTCCTGGTTCTAAGCTACCTCCCTGCCAATTTTTATCTATATCGATTGAGGCGTTCTTGAGTTATAAATAGTGTAACTAACACGACTTTCTTTTATATATATATAGATTTGCCGAATAAACTAAAATTCAATGTAGTTTATATGTGTGGTATAATTTCCAGGTTCGGATATCGGTGGGTCTACTCGTATGCCTGCGTTCTTCTGCGGCCTGTACGCTCTAAACCCGACCTCTGGATACACCAGCCTTAAAGGTATGCGCTCGTTTTAAAAAAGTGCAAACAATTGTTGGTTTTTCTTCTGTAATATTTTATAAAAGTATTTTAAACTTTGTTATTGTTATTACTGGGTTTTTAAAAAAGAATCTCAGTAGCATCATGGAGTCTGGCATTGTGCCCGGTATATGGCAATAGGCTCACCCCCTATTACATGGGACTCATAACATAAATCGTGAAAAGTGGGTGTTACATTGTACAGTGGCATAATGTACACTTCTGCCTACCCGTTCGGGGAAAAAAGGCGTGATGTTATGTTTAAACCTTGTTGAGTAGATGTTGCTTTGCAAACTGGTTGTTGGGATTTCCAATTTTTAAAATAAAGGTGAATTGATTAACAAGAGATTAATTGAGAACACGAGTGATTTACGGCTCATAGATATTTTTTTTATTGGTACACTTGTCAGCAGCTGCAGTCAAATGCCATTTAACGCTTGTCTACATGTAGAATAGAAAACCAAATTATATGGAATTGACGTAAATTTTTACACTTGCCAGTGTCATCCCATTTTCTACTCTCTCTGTAGACAAGCGCTAAAGTGGCGTTTGGCTAAAGACACTACAAGATCTATTTTAGCCAATGGAGGATGAGGTCTTAGAATTCATTACATTTCAATCTTCCTATCATTCCAGGTTCAGCTCTCCGCACGGGTAAAGAGAAGTCGATGGCTTCCATTGGCTTCATCAGCAGACATTGTTCCGACCTCATACCACTCACCAAGTTAGTAGTCATCGCTGATAAGGCCAAGGAATTGAACCTGGACCGACCTGTTGATGTTAAGGTAAGCAGATCATGTTATAACTTAACAGTTCGACGAAGTTAATCGACTAGTAGTACTCGTCAGGCAGCTGTAGTTTATGCTCATGATACAGAGTCCCATTCAAAAAGTTTTTGACTTATAGATCTGAATATAAAATTTGTAAATGACTCGATCTCTGTTTTTGACAGATCGTAATGTCAAACGTCAAAAATCTGTCTTTATCCACAAAATTTTAACCCGTCGAGCGTCCGCGTTCCTTATGATCCAACACGTGACATTTGGAGAAAGAAAGAAATAAAGAAAGAAAATGCATTTATTTGGCCATTGGCACACGAAAACAAGGATCATTACAATAGATATAAAAAATACAGTCAAAATAAAAACAAAATATTAATAATAGGTTTTATAAAAGAGAAAGCAGCATGGAGCATTTTTTCTTATGATCCACCGGGTGCTCATAAGGACGCTCGAGGGGTTAAGAAGTTTATTCCTATTACTCAATGGAGGCTGTGGATAACTAACAACTAACTGAATAATATAAATCTTTTTTAGAAACTCAGATACTTCTATGTGGAGACGGCTCAAGATTTGCGCGTGAGTCCCATCTCTGCTGATCTACGCGCTGCTATGAACAGGTACTTAGCCGATATTATTTTATTACTTGTTAAACAAAATTATTGTTACAATTTTCACTTGCCCGATTCGGAACATTCGTAGTTTCGCTATGACACGACCAACGAGACCTATTAAACTGTCAAACACCAAGCGGTCACCGGTGACCGCAACCTATTGTTCTTTAATTGTGTCTATAAAACCGGTACTCGACGAGTTAAGATTATACCAATGTGTTTGAAATATTGCAAAAACTCACCGACTATTAAAATTGTCTACCTCCTTTAGAGATTTAAAAGTGACGTTCACATTTTAAACTGTCAAACACCAAGCGGTCACCGGTGACCGCAACCTATTGTTCTATAAGTGTGTCTATAATGACGGTACTCGACGAGTTAAGTATTTTAAATCTAAATTTATCAACGGACTTCAAAAAAAGGAGGGTCTCAATTCGACTGTAATTTTGTTTATGTTTGTTATTCGATTACTGGAAGACGCCTGGAGCGATTTCAAAAAATCCTTTATTTTTGCTTTTTATTTGGTCCCATTGTCATGAAGTCAGGATCTGGTTATGGAATCCCAGGGGAACCGAGGGGAACTTTTATTTTAGTTAAATTATAGGGATGACTAGTGCATTTGTCAATTTTTTCGTTAAGTATTTAAAACCACCTCAATCTAATGAAAGTCTAGAGTTGATCTGATGATGGAACCGAGAGGCAGTCGAGGGAACTCCTCAGCGGTTACTAGTAGCTATCTTGTGTTTGGGTTTGATTAATTTCTAATGATGAGGACTTTTGGACAAAGTTTGAGTGGCATCTGTTATTTATGTATATTAAATACAGTGCTTGTTTTAGTAATATCATATATATAGTGTGTATTGCGAATTTTTCGATATAGTATTTAAAACGACTATAATTTGATGGAGATATAGAGTTGATCTGATGATGGAGTCATGAGACAGCCAAGGGAACTCCTCGAGGATTTGTAGCAATGACCCCGTGTTTGGGCTTAAATAATTTGTAGTGAGATCTTTACGTCTAGATGAAGTGTGATTGTCATTAGGGGTTTGATGATGGAGTAGTATGATAGGTAAGGGAACTCCTCAACGGTTCCGACCAGGTGTTTGGGCTTGATTAATTTTTAATGATGCCTAATAAAGATTATTTTTATAGTGATGAAAACTTTACACGTAAATGGAGTATGATTAGTATTAGGGGCCGGATGATGAAATAGTACGATAGCTAATGGAACTTCTAAACGATTAATAGCTACTATTAACCGTTTACCTAGTGTTTGAGCCTGAATAATTTGTAATGATGAAAAATCGGTTTTTTTAATCGCTGTTTTTATTAGTTATAGTATAGTTTTCGCAGTCCATATTCTGCCATAATTCCGCAGAGAACGTAAAATGTTGCCGGGGTTCCAGTTCGAAGTGTAGGAGTAGCAACGGGGTGGTTTTTAGTCAGTAAGACTCCGACAGTCCCCCTCGCCTCACCTGGGCGGAAGCAGCATTCGATCATTTGCCCCCCTTAAAAAAAATATAGATATCTACACAACACAAACCACCGTATGCCTGCAGCGAATACTAACCTATTTTGGCCACACTAGACCCCAACAATCTGGAAAAGCTTGTGGTTGTTGATCGGGTTAACGGGAAGAGACCTCGTGGTCGCTCACCTACACCCGGTGGTTGGACCTAACCTAACCGGCCTGACAGTTCCACAAACCATAAAGACCGCAGAGGACAGGGGCGTTTGGAGGAGGGTTGTGCATCAAGTGAAGCGTGCACCAGACTAGACACGACCTTCAGTAATGAAGAGAACGACTAGGAAGAAAAACAACACAAACGCATATAGAACACAATGATTACTAAATCAAACGATGCACTGAAATAAACACTTGAATTGTATTAACGTTAGCTCGAAGTCATCGACCAACAATAAAGAACATTGTTGTACGATGCTCGAAGTGTCTCAAACTGACCACCAACACTCAATAGTTACATGAACGTATTTACTGAAAGAGGAACAGCCTCATAATTATGCAACAACAGAATGCAACCAAAGAATCACATTTGACCTCCGAGGTACCATCTTCGCAATTGTCAATTGTCAGGCACGCCGTGAAAAATGGTACTGAACTAATATTGTTTTGAAATTGTCTGATTTATTATTAATCATTTATTTCAGACCAAGAGTCCATAAACTGTTAGTAACAATGAGCTTAACCTATTGTTAGTAATTTAATATAATATAAATAAACAAAACTAATTCTACTTTACAGCCGCGTGCAATCTAATCCAATGGCCCAACATTGGGCTATCCCATTTATCACACTTTAGCTTTAGCACATTTATTTAGCTTGATTCGAGATCTTTTCGTTAAAAATGTTATTTCAGACGTTAGTGGTTTATCTATTTATTTTAATGGATTAAATGCCACTTGGATTTAGTCATGTAATAACGATTTATTACTCGAACTACTGTCTCAGTTAAAAACTAAGTCCTTTAGTACTCCGTTCAGAAAACAATGAAGGCGAGCGAGATATCCCAGATTTGACAAAAATCGATCGCATTTTCCACGTTGGTTGCCGAATTTTAAAGTCTACGTTACCTTGTTCCATTTGGCGTGAGCTTATGCGACAAGCTAAATCATTGAGGGTGAAACGAAAAAGATAGTCATATGTAACATTTTTTTTAGACTTATTCATGTGTCTCCATCGTATGGAAATATTACTTCAGTTGTGTCTCACATCATGCGAAACTGACACAAATCGCTAAAGCCAATTCGAGAATCGAAAACATTTTAAAAATTTTCCCTTATATTATGCGACTCGCCATCGGGTGCATCGCGTCATATACAAAAAAACGATCGCATTTTCCACGTCGGTTGCCGAATTTTAAAGTCTACGTTACCTTGTTCCATTTGGCGTGAGCTTATGCGACAAGCTAAATCATTGAGGGTGAAACGAAAAAGATAGTCATATGTAACATTTTTTTTTAGACTTATTCATGTGTCTCCATCGTATCGAAATATTACTTCAGTTGTGTCTCACATCATAGTTTCGGTACATAGTTCGGATCAAGCAGCCTGTAGTCCTCTACAAAGTAGGGACAGTCAGTGTGTCGTACAAGTAAATTGTAAGCCAGCCGCCGCACGAAACGGGCGAATGTCGCTAAACGAAGCATCGAAATCATTTTTAAATTTTTCTCTTATGTTATGCGATGCGCCATCGAAGTATCCGCTGCAGAGCCTCATAGTACTTGCTCGAGAGCAACATTTGGCTAGTACTCAGCTTAATTTTAGTTTTCATTGACTTGGTGAGCTCTGGCAGCCTATGCTAACAGGAGTTTTGGCAAAAGAGACAACTAAAGTATAGAATTAATTTGTTTATTCAGTTTCATTCGAGTCTTATACTAAAGAAGTCGCATTGGGCGTAGCGTCGGTTCATGCTGCCTGTGGTCATCTACGAAGTGGGAGCAGCCAGTCTGTCCTCCAAGTAAACTGGTCACCAGCCGTCGTACACACGTAATGGACGAATTGAGTGAGCATCGGAACGAGACCATCCGATGTCATGTTTTAATTTTTACCATTGTCCGACGCCATACCGAAGCATTGGCCGCTTGTTGTGGCACACACATTTTGATAGCTGGTCGAATATTTTACGTTATGGATGTCTGGCTTTGAAACATGTCGGGGATGCGGTAAATTTTTTCTTAAAAACGAGTTCACATCGTTTCGGTACATAGTTGGGATCGAGCAGCATGTAGTCCTCCACAAAGTAGGGACGGTCAGTCTGCCGCTGTCGTACAAGTAGACCGCAAGCCAGGTACCACACGAAACTGACACAAATCGCTAAAGCCAATTCGAGAATCGAAAACATTTTAAAAATTTTCCCTTATATTATGCGATTCGCCATCGGGTGCATCGCGTCATATACAAAAAAACGATCGCATTTTCCACGTCGGTTGCCGAATTTTAAAGTCTACGTTACCTTGTTCCATTTGGCGTGAGCTTATGCGACAAGCTAAATCATTGAGGGTGAAACGAAAAAGATAGTCATATGTAACATTTTTTTATAGACTTATTCATGTGTCTCCATCGTATGGAAATATTACTTCAGTTGTGTCTCACATCATAGTTTCGGTACGTAGTTCGGATCAAGCAGCCTGTAGTCCTCTACAAAGTAGGGACAGTCAGTGTGTCGTACAAGATAATTGTAAGCCAGCCGCCGCACGAAACGGGCGAATGTCGCTAAACGAAGCATCGAAATCATTTTTAATTTTTTCTCTTATGTTATGCGATGCGCCATCGAAGTATCCGCTGCAGAGCCTCATAGTACTTGCTCGAGAGCAACATTTGGCTAGTACTCAGCTTAATTTTAGTTTTCATTGACTTGTAGGCTGCGGTGAGCTCTGGCAGCCTATGCTAACAGGAGTTTTGGCAAAAGAGACAACTAAAGTATATAATTAATTTGTTTATTCAGTTTCATTCGAGTCTTATACTAAAGAAGTCGCATTGGGCGTAGCGTCGGTTCATGCTGCCTGTGGTCATCTACGAAGTGGGAGCAGCCAGTCTGTCCTCCAAGTAAACTGGTCACCAGCCGTCGTACACACGTAATGGACGAATTGAGTGAGCATCGGAACGAGACCATCCGATGTCATGTTTTAATTTTTACCATTGTCCGACGCCATACCGAAGCATTGGCCGCTTGTTGTGGCACACACATTTTGATAGCTGGTCGAATATTTTACGTTATGGATGTCTGGCTTTGAAACATGTCGGGGATGCGGTAAATTTTTTCTTAAAAACGAGTTCACATCGTTTCGGTACATAGTTGGGATCGAGCAGCATGTAGTCCTCCACAAAGTAGGGACGGTCAGTCTGCCGCTGTCGTACAAGTAGACCGCAAGCCAGGTACCACACGAAACTGACACAAATCGCTAAAGCCAATTCGAGAATCGAAAACATTTTAAAAATTTTCCCTTATATTATGCGATTCGCCATCGGGTGCATCGCGTCATATACAAAAAAACGATCGCATTTTCCACGTCGGTTGCCGAATTTTAAAGTCTACGTTACCTCGTTCCATTTGGCGTGAGCTTATGCGACAAGCTAAATCATTGAGGGTGAAACGAAAAAGATAGTCATATGTAACATTTTTTTATAGACTTATTCATGTGTCTCCATCGTATCGAAATATTACTTCAGTTGTGTCTCACATCATAGTTTCGGTACATAGTTCGGATCAAGCAGCCTGTAGTCCTCTACAAAGTAGGGACAGTCAGTGTGTCGTACAAGTAAATTGTAAGCCAGCCGCCGCACGAAACGGGCGAATGTCGCTAAACGAAGCATCGAAATCATTTTTAATTTTTTCTCTTATGTTATGCGATGCGCCATCGAAGTATCCGCTGCAGAGCCTCATAGTACTTGCTCGAGAGCAACATTTGGCTAGTACTCAGCTTAATTTTAGTTTTCATTGACTTGTAGGCTGCGGTGAGCTCTGGCAGCCTATGCTAACAGGAGTTTTGGCAAAAGAGACAACTAAAGTATATAATTAATTTGTTTATTCAGTTTCATTCGAGTCTTATACTAAAGAAGTCGCATTGGGCGTAGCGTCGGTTCATGCTGCCTGTGGTCATCTACGAAGTGGGAGCAGCCAGTCTGTCCTCCAAGTAAACTGGTCACCAGCCGTCGTACACACGTAATGGACGAATTGAGTGAGCATCGGAACGAGACCATCCGATGTCATGTTTTAATTTTTACCATTGTCCGACGCCATACCGAAGCATTGGCCGCTTGTTGTGGCACACACATTTTGATAGCTGGTCGAATATTTACGTTATGGATGTCTGGCTTTGAAACATGTCGGGGATGCGGTAAATTTTTTCTTAAAAACGAGTTCACATCGTTTCGGTACATAGTTGGGATCGAGCAGCATGTAGTCCTCCACAAAGTAGGGACGGTCAGTCTGCCGCTGTCGTACAAGTAGACCGCAAGCCAGGTACCACACGAAACTGACACAAATCGCTAAAGCCAATTCGAGAATCGAAAACATTTTAAAAATTTTCCCTTATATTATGCGACTCGCCATCGGGTGCATCGCGTCATATACAAAAAAACGATCGCATTTTCCACGTCGGTTGCCGAATTTTAAAGTCTACGTTACCTTGTTCCATTTGGCGTGAGCTTATGCGACAAGCTAAATCATTGAGGGTGAAACGAAAAAGATAGTCATATGTAACATTTTTTTTTAGACTTATTCATGTGTCTCCATCGTATCGAAATATTACTTCAGTTGTGTCTCATATCATAGTTTCGGTACATAGTTCGGATCAAGCAGCCTGTAGTCCTCTACAAAGTAGGGACAGTCAGTGTGTCGTACAAGTAAATTGTAAGCCAGCCGCCGCACGAAACGGGCGAATGTCGCTAAATGAAGCATCGAAATCATTTTTAATTTTTTCTCTTATGTTATGCGATGCGCCATCGAAGTATCCGCTGCAGAGCCTCATAGTACTTGCTCGAGAGCAACATTTGGCTAGTACTCAGCTTGTAGGCTGCGGTGAGCTCTGGCAGCCTATGCTAACAGGAGTTTTGGCAAAAGAGACAACTAAAGTATAGAATTAATTTGTTTATTCAGTTTCATTCGAGTCTTATACTAAAGAAGTCGCATTGGGCGTAGCGTCGGTTCATGCTGCCTGTGGTCATCTACGAAGTGGGAGCAGCCAGTCTGTCCTCCAAGTAAACTGGTCACCAGCCGTCGTACACACGTAATGGACGAATTGAGTGAGCATCGGAACGAGACCATCCGATGTCATGTTTTAATTTTT